ACAAAAACCTAAATAAAAAAGGGCTGGGGAGCATGGCTTAATGGTAGAGCATTTGCTTAGCAAGTATGAGACCTTGAATTCAAACCCCAATCCCCTTCACACACACACACACACACACACACACACAAATCCTACTATTTCCTTGTATCACTAAACCCTATCTTATTGGGTCATAATTATCTCTAGGTTTCTCAGTGCTTACGGCAATAAACTCCTGCCATTAACCTGCCCATCAGTCATATTAGGATAGAGAGACAATCTTGTTTCATCTTTGGTGCTAAGAATCTCAAATTTCAGGAAATCTCTTTGGTGTGAACCAAAACATTTGGTGACTCTTCATCAGGCCCAGCAGGTCCAGATCTACCTGAACCTCATTCAAACCAAAACCAGCATAGTACCCTAAAAAACATTATATATATATATATATGTATGCATGTATGTATGTACTATGTATGTATGTTTTGTCCTCTCTTTTTTTTCCTTTTCTTTTTTTTTTTTTTGTTGGTTGTGGGGTTTGAACTCTGGGATCAGGTGCTGTCCTTGAGCTAAAAGGCTCTACCAATTGAGCCACAACACCACTTCCTGTTCTTTAGTGGTTAATTGGAGATAAGAGTCTCACAGACTTTCCTGGCCCAGATAGCTTTGGCCCCTGAGTAGCCAGGATTACAGGTGTGAGCCACCAGCACCTAGCCTGTCTTCTCTTCTTAATCCGTGTATAATCACTTACTACATCTTAATTTCATCTCTTATGTATATTTTCACCTCTATACTTGCAGTCTTTGTTCAGTCTTCATTATTTTATGTTAGCTTTAATAAATAATCTCAAATAATAATTACATCTCCCATCTCCAATCTTCTGTTCTCATTGTTATGGAATATTTTTCAAACCAACTGGATTGTACCATGACATTGTAGTAAACCTTTACTACCTTTGCTCAGCCCACAGGACACTATCTACATTTTAGTATGGTACATAAATCTCATAAGTATATCTCTATCCAATCTTTCCAGTTTTGTCTCTCACCTTTTCTAAACTTCTTTGCCCAAAGTGCTGCTTCCTATTCATATTTAAAAACTGTTTCTCCTAGGGTCTATGGGTCCTTGCTTTTGTGGTACTCACTTTATATGAGTAGCTTCTACTCATCAGAACTACCTAAATTGGGAAGTAAAGTTTCCCTTAGAGCAAAGACTGCTATGTAGCTGGAAGGAAGGAATGAAGGAAGGCAGGTAGGAAGAAAAGACTGATTCACTGAACTCTACCCACTGCTGGCATATAACCTTCCTGGCATAATAGAAATTGTAAAAAAAGTTCCTATCTAACAAACAAAATGTGCTATTTCAAGTACAGCCTCATAGAAAAATAAAACAGCTAGTCATATCCTGTCATTATATCAATATATATATATATATATTTTTTTTTTTTGGGGGGTCCGGTTGTGGAGCCTGAACTCTTGGCCTGGGCGCTGTCCCTCAGCTCTTCAGCTCAAGGCTAGCGCTCTACCATTTGAGCCACAGCGCCACTTCCAGCTTTTTTCGTTTTGCTTATGTGGTGCTGAGGAATCAAACCCAGGGCCTCTGGCATGCAAGGCAAGCGCTCTACCACTGAGCCACCTTCCCAGCCCATATATCAATATTTTTTGTATGTGTGCCATACTGGGGCTTGAACTCAGAGTCTCACACTCTCAATCAGCTTTCTGGCTCACAACTGACACTCTACTCCTTGAGTCATAACTTCTGTCCAATTTTTTGCTAGTTAACTTTTCTGCCCAGACTGTCTTCTAACTTTCACCTGAGGGTGAGTAATAGCACTACCTAAATTGGAACACTGCATGAGTTAGCACTGTCCAGCTCAACAGGTAATATTGTGAAAACCTTGTTTTTCAAGTTCAGGATCAATAGTGTGGTGGCAGTCCTGGTCTTCTTTAGATGTTCTACACACACAAAATACTCTTGGATATACTGACTCATTTGCACAGAACATCTTATTATATGGCTGCTATTTCTGAGAAGTGCCTAGGACTGGAAAAGGCTCTGGAGCAGGTCAGGCAGTAGTGTGAGTCACACTATCCAATAATGTTCAAAGTGTCAGTGGATCCTTTTGCAAGCCCCAACAAGAGATTAGATGAGATAGCTAGGGTTTGGAACAGAATCATGCTCTCTCTTGCTGATAATTATTCCTTCTTTAGTGAAGAAACTAATTTGTTAATATGGGATTCTAAATGATTATATGACTAAACCACCCATTATGAACAAGAGTTGTCTGGGCAAGACATTAAATATTATACCAAGTCTGGACATGTGAAGCAATAATCATAAAGAGGAGATTTTATACAGATGTTCAAACGCAAACTAAGTCTTCAGTAAGACACAAGACATAAGTTGTTGCATGAATATTTAGTTCAGACCCATAGAAAACCTACTTCTTTTTTGTTTTTGTTTTTGCCAGTCATGGGGCTTGAACTCAGGGCCTGGGCTCTGTCCCTGAGCCACTCTGTGCTCAAGGCTAGCACTCTACTACTTGAGCCACAGCACAACTTCCAGTTCTTTCTGAGTTTTTTTCTGGAAATAAGAGTTTCACAGACTTCCATGCCCTGAGCTGGCTTTGAACTGTGATCCTCAGATCTCAGCCACCTGAGCAGCTAGGAATACAGGCGTGAGCCACCAGCATCTGGTGAAAACCTACTTCTTATGCCTTGTAGTCCTTTCCTCAGCCCACACTTTTGGTTCCATGTGGGAGTTCAATACAAACAGTTCAAGGAGTAAGAAAAAAATGGGGCCAAATTTACAAAAAGGTCTCCACAAAACGCTAATACCAGTGTACTCACTCAGGGAAACCATGAAGGAGACTAGTGAAGGAAATCCTCTCAAAGGGAAGACATTTTGGCAGTACATTTTGTGGTTGCCTTGGCCAGCAAGGAGAGGTAGCCTGTAATAGAAAATAACAAACCTGAAAGACTGGTAGCAAAGAAAAGGGCAAGATCTTTCAGAAATGAGCAAGAAGTATAAAGGAATTAGTATGAGTATTTAGGGGGAAAAAAACACTACCCACAGAGGAGGCTTTAATAATAAGGGGGAAAAGATGACATCCTGTGTTAAGAAGTCAGTATGTTTCCTTACCCTAGTGTACAAAGGACCTATGTATAAACTGACTCTAGTGGTGGGGTTGGAACCAAAGTCTTAACAATACATACTGCCCCTTACTGAGCTGATCTGTCTACTAGCACTGTCAAGTATTGGAATCTCCAAGAGCAGAATCTAAATGGAATACCCAATATAACACTATTTTCTAAGCAAACCATCTGTTGATAGGTTGTTCATGGTATTCTACTTCCATCATAGATAGAAAAGCTATTTGTTTGTACTGGAATAGACATATATTCTGGTTATGGGAACACCTTTCCTGTCTATTGTGTTTTGTTTGTGTACAGCATAATCCCTTGCTTACTGTCATGGTATCATACTTCACACAGCTTTGGACCAAGGAACATATCTCACAAGAGAAGTGTGACTAAAATTACCCTCTATGAAAATCACTAATCTTACCACATACTCTGTCATCCAAGGACAGCTAGTCTGCCAGGAATATTACCCAATCTATCATTTCTGCAGGGTCTGAATAATCATTGGCCGTTTCTTTGCTTCCATAGTTTTTCCATTAACTTTTTTATTGTATCATCTTTTTAAAAAATTTATTGTTATTATAGAGGTGATATACAGAGGGATTACAATTACATGAGTCAGGTAATGAGTAATTTCCTTTCTTACAGTACCACCTGTTCCCTCATTCTCTCCCAATCCTGCCTCCCGACTCCATCCACAAGTTGTATAGTTCACTTTCATCAATGTTCAGTGAGCTCCACTGTTGTGCTTTTTCATCATTTTTCCCCCAAGTTCTGTGCCCTCCCCCTCCCCACCTTCCCAAAGATATACATACGAATACATCATTTATAAGGTAAGGAAGAGAGAATCATCAAACACTAAAAAAAAGAAAGGAAGAAAGATCTTTTTTCCAATATCATGAAGTTCATTTCAGTATGTGTATTATTTTATATAAATATGAAGAAGCACTTAGGCATTGCACCTCTGTGATTCTCTTCTAAGAGTATCCTCTTTTTTTTTTTTGTCTGTCATGGGGCTTGAACTCTGGGCCTGGGCACTGTCCCTCAGCTCTTCAGCTCAAGGCGAGCACTCTACCACTTGAGCTACAGCGGCCACTTCTGGTTTTCTGGTGGTTTATTGGAGATAGGAGTCTCACGGTCTCTCCTGCCTGGGCTGGCTTTGAACCGTGATCCTCAGATCTCAGCCTCCTGAATAGCTAGGATTATAGGCGTGAGCCACCAGCGCCCAGCGAGTATCCTCTTTTTATCTCTACTAATCTACTCCTAATCTTATTTGTTTCATTTTCCATCACTCCCCTGAATTAAATTTTTCAGGTAAAACCATAATAATAATCCAATCAGAGGTGGATCATGCCTGTTATCCAAGCTGCTCAGGAGGTTGAGATCTGAGAATCACAATTTGAAGCCAGCTTGATCAGAAAAAAATCCATGGGACTCATCATCAATTAACCAGCAAAAGGTGGAGGTGTGGCTCAAGTGGCAAAGTACTAGCCTTGAGCAAAAAAGCCAAGTGACAGCTAGCGGCCCTGAAATCAAGCCCAGTATCTGTACATGCATGTGCACACGTGCGCAAGTGCGCGCGCGCACACACACACACACACACACACACACACACACATTAAGTAATCCAAAGGGCTGGAGGTATAGCTTAGTGGAAGAGTGCTTGTCTAATATCCAGAAGGCCCTAACTTCCATTCTCAGAGCTGAAAAATATTAAAAATAAATAGTATTTTGAAAAGAAAAAAATATAAGAACACTAAATTTTTTCTTGAGAAAGTACCAGGATGTTCCTGACTGTTAAAACAGATGATAGCTAATACCACGCTAGAAATATTACAATATTAAGTCAATATTCTACAACTTTTCTATTTCTGGAAATTTACATACAAATATATCTACATAGTTACAAAATGAAGTTTTACAAGGTTGTTCATTACAATATGGTTTATAAATAAAAATGAGAAGCAAACATGCTATTTTCTATAGGGAACTAGTTAAATAAATACTGATATATAACAAAGCTGTAAAAAAAAGACACTATTCTTCAATGAGGAAAACATAAATATGGATAACAGGTAGGAAGGGGAAAATAAGAATACAGGTTTATATTTGCATAAAGAAATACAAAAAATAAGCACAAAAACAATAAATATGGTTATACATGCAGGAAAGAACAAGAGAGAAGGAGGCACAAAAGAATGGGAGGGAGAATTCTCAATATATACCTTTTGTGTTAGTTTGGTTTTGAACCACACAGACATATTACCTTGAAAAGATATTAAAACATATTGAAGGGGAAAAAAAATCTAGTAATCTAGTCATTAAAGGATAAACAGAAATGACAGCAAAACACCATAAAGTAAAGGAAACCCAAAAATGAAAGAGAAGGAAGGGAGACCATAGCGGTAGGCTAAGGTTCCTTTCCTGGAGCTGATCTAAGCACTGATTCTTGAGGTATCCAAGCCTAGCTTCTTTTTTTTTTTTTTTTTTTGGTCCAGTTGTGGGGCCTGAACTCTGGCCCTGAGAACTGTCCCTCAGCTCTTCTGCTCAAGGCTAGCGCTCTACCACTTGAGCCACAGTGCCACTTCCGGCTTTTTTTCTTTTTGCTTATGTGGTGCTGAGGAATCAAACCCAGGGCCTCATGCATGCAAGGCAAGCGCTCTACCACTGAGCCACCTTCCCAGCCCCCCTATCTTCTTTTTTAATTTCAATAACTGACTGTGGTAATTACAAGCAACACCCCAGATTCCTCACAAACCCTACTTCATAGCAATAACCATAATATCTTAGAAAATCAGGGCCCATTACATCAAGAAACACTACAAGACTTGTTTTCTTAGCTGTGAATGAGGTTTCAGACAGATCACAATGGTATATAAAACATAACAATGGTACAAAACAAAAGCATTAAGTATTTGTGGATTACATCCATGGCAGAATTGTGAGATGCAGAATGAATGACAAATTCAAACATAGATTATTGATAGGAAATGGACTCATTACCTTGCTCATTTAACTGTAACCTCTCTGCACAGTATCTTTACAATAAATATATATAATAAAAAACATAGATTAAAAATCAACTGGATGATTAAAAATGTTTTCCTCAAAGCTTCCAGATAAAAATGGCAGATTGAATATAATAGCATAATTTTATTCACTCTGAAAATCCACTAAAGCTAGAATAAGGGGTTTTTTATTTTTACCCATATCCCTATAAATAGGGACAACAAAAATTTATAATTGGGACTGCAGAAAAAAATGACTTAGGATACAGTAGGGAAAGAAAAGGCTAAACTGAGATATACCACAGAATCTTGTAAAGACAGAGAAGCAAGTGGACTTTTAGAAGTAAAAGGGTTTAAGAAAGGTATTAAATAATTAATGGAATTTATCCACTCCTTGGATGTGTGTTGAACTTAACAATGTGCTTCTAAAGAACAGAGAATAGTAAGAAAATTGTAGTTAACTAGAGTAATCTTGCAGAAATTACCTTATCCAAAAGCATCAGTTATACCCATGTAGGTATCACACCTCTCTGCTATAATAAAAATAACAGTTCCCACTGTGGTATTTTTCCCCAAACTCGTATTCTGAACTTAATAATAACAAATTCAAATATTAGAGAAAACTAAATTAAGGGACATCCTACAAAATACCTGACCAGTACTGTGCAGAATTGGTAAGGAAAAGAAAAAAGGGGAGAGACCAAAAAGGCATCGTAGTTTACAGACTAAGAAGATGTGATAACCAAATGCAATGGGAACTTCCAGAGTAGAAAAAAAAAGATATCAGTGGAAACCTGATGAGATCCAAATGAAGTCTGTGATTTGATTAATAGTATGATATTTGTGTTAATTTCTTAGTTTTGCTAAATGTATCGTGATTGTGTGAGGTATTAATATGAGGAAAGACTTGGTAGATAGTATATGGGAACTCTCTTCCATCTTTGAGACTCTTATACATTTAAAATTATTTCAAAACAAAAAGGTTTTAGATTTATAGGCAAAATAGAAGATTATCTGTTTTGAATAGCAGTCATGTAACAGAAGACATTACATTTTGGAGAGAGAGAAAGAGCATCAGGAATCATGAAAGAGGGGGCAGGACAAGTGAAAAGCACAGAGAAACAGAAAGACAGCAAAGAGTCCCAGGCCCTATTCCCAGATCCCCAAGCAGGAAACTAGAGACACATTCTCAAGACAAGTCAGATGACCTTGGCAACAAACTGGTAATTCTAGTTGAAGTATATCCTTCATTTCCTTCAAGCCTTAAACAATTTGGTAGGACAAATCTGACTACTCTCAGTATAGAAGCCAGTAGTCCCCAATAACATCTCCAAATTGTAGTTCCATGCAGGCACCTACCCGCAAATCACCATCTTGTTTCTAAGGATATCTTATTAAACTGCTCCCTATTCCCTGGTTCTTGGAAAGGCCCTCCCATTTCTTGGGAAACTCTACAACTATGAACATATCCTTAGCATGTCAAAACCTACCCATAACAGTGCCTAAGAATTAAGAGATCAATGTACTTAACTGCTTGATCAACTTGCCTACCCTCAGTTATAACACATTTTTGGGGGTGTACTATCACTTTGTCATTTATGTTTCAATAAAATTAAGCTTATGTATGCTTAAATAAATCTTCCCTATTAAAAAAATACAAAACCCTGTGTGTTAGGCATATTAGCACATGTCTATAAACTAGCTATCCAGGAAACAGAGATAGGAGGATAGTGCTTTGAGGCTAGTCAAGGCCTTTTCTTAAAAACAGCATAGCAAGACCATATCTCACAAACAGCCTGGTGGCACATGCCTGCAATCCCAAATACTCAGTAGGTTGATTGGAAGGCTCCAACTTTGAGACTAACTTGGGCAAAAAAGTTAGAGAGACCTCCATCTCAACAAATAGTGTGGTAGTACACACCTGTAATTCTAGTTTTATAGGAGGCATAGGTAGAAGAATAGTGATCCAATAACAGCTCAAGTAAAAGTGTTTGTGTGTGTATACACATACATATGTATATATATATGTAACTGAAATATATCTTTCAGTTAGTTGTATTTCACACACACACACACACACACACACACACCCCTAACAAAAGGGTCCTAGGAGTATGACTGAAGTAGTAGAGTGCCTGGCAAGTAAGTATAAGGCCCTGAGTTCAAATCTCAGTACTGCAAATAACCACAACAAAAAATTTCTCTGCGTGTCGGCCCCTTTTATCAGTAATACCAAGAACTTGCCATTTGTCTTTCCTGAAACCTGAGAACAAGAAATTTTGTCTTTGTTGTTGTTTGTTGATGTATCTTAAACACTGATTTCTGGGACACAGTAAATGTTCAATAAATATCTGTGAGTGAACATATAAATCAAGCAGATTAATAAGAATCTTCTCTAAGGTTTCTATTCAATATCCTAATGTTACAGTAGTGATTTTTATTGTCATAAGGTCTGAGCACCTGGATTTCTAGGGGCTTACTGGTAGTGTCTGCTGCCACACCCCAAATGTACTAAATGCTCTGATGAAACTCTTGTGATGACTCAACTCCGAGAATAACTTTCTGAAGAAGAGATAAGACAAAACTTTACTGTAATTTATTCAAATCAAAGTAATCCATCTAGAAAAAAGACATCAGATTTGTTAATTCTCTCTTGGACAAAATGGGATGAACATATAATTTGCTATTGCTGTTCTCACTTCATTAAAGCTGACTTCATTAAAGGCAGCAAGAACAGCCCAGATTAAAAGTTTAAGGGAAAGGAAAATAAGGACTTTCTTATTGTTCTTATTCAAGCATTTCTTGTGAGCACAGAAACAAGATTAATTAAATTTCCTTCTGATTTATTCAATTACAGATTTATGGTTCATCTTTTCTACATTTCTATGTCATCACTGTCATCCTTAATCTGATTTGGAAAATAATAGCAAAATAAAACATGAAAACAATAAGAGAATATATATTCTAAATTTAAGCACATACAAATACAACTAGAAAATTCACCAAAATTGCCATTGTTTTGTTAGAGGTGATAAGATTATTAGCAATTTCGTCTCCAATTTATTCACAATTTTGTTTCCATTTTTAAAGCACTGAAGTTCTTTTAGGAAATTCTAGGAAAAAGTTATATATCTTCCAAAGGGAGATGTATGTTAATATTTAATTTAAAAGTACATTTGATCTATACATTTGTACAGAGTATGTGCAAGAAAACCAACACACTAGTCTCAACGGCAAGTAAAAGTCAACATATTTAAAGCAATATTGGAAACTCTCAGTTGTTCTGCAAGTGATCTGAAAATAAGTCAGAGCTTGTTCTTAGTTTCAGGCCAGGAATTATCTCTAGAACTGATGCAATCTAACACTAGAGCCAAGTGTTTACTGAAGTCTCTGTCCCAAAAGGGACACTGAAGCAGACGTTGTTGGGATTGCCACAGGAGCTATCACAGCAGGGAAAAGTACACATTAAATTCATTTTGAAGTAATATTTTTCTTTCCAGTGAAAGTTTAGACTCAATACCCTTTCACCCTATGTGATCTATAATCAAGTCTTTCTCCTTCATTTACTGGAAAGTTTAGTTTCTTATGCTACTGGTTTTCTTTTCTAGGCACCACAGCATAAACAGGAAGTTCATGCCTCTGGAGCTTATTCATGGTAGAATGGAAAAAATGAAGCTATGGACTTCCTCGAGAATCATTTAAAGAGGCGGGATCCTTAAATAACTCTGCTCACTTTCTTATCTTCTCCAGAAGTCTAGTAAAGTACACACATAAACTATAAAACCATTCCCAGGGATGCATAGGGTTCCTTGCTTGTATTTGACCGGAAATCAACATGATAAATGTGAATCAGGCTTCCATTAGATTCTAGAGCCTTTGCATTATAGCAAAGATCACTGTAGCACCTCTCTGTTGACTGCATGAGTCAAGGTTCCAGAGCTATAAAATCAAATAAAGTCTACCATGTCATGTGCCAGAAGTACAAGGTATCTGATATTATATAGCCAACTTCTGATACTAAGAGACAAAGGTGTTTCTCACGCGTTTGTCCTGGTAAAATAGCTCCATGTCTTCATCATCATGGTCATGGGAATTTCCTTCATATGTGATAAAAATGTACATTGTCAATTTCCTGGGTTTGAGATTATAGTTCCATAAGATGTAGCTATGGGAGGAAACTAGATAAGAGGATACACGTGACTTGTCTGTAATTTTGCAACTTCTTGCGACTGTATTTACTTTGAAATAAAATAGTTTTTACAAAGGGCACCTTCTTATGTGCCTGAGTATGGTGGGGACGGTTGGCACTGACAAATCAGGGAGAATTCAAACATCGCCCTTGGTTTTCAGGTGAAGTTTTTCCAGCCACAAACCTCCAAGGGAGAAGGCTTGAGACTGGGAATGCCCTGACATGAACCGTTTCCTAGACCCGGATTCCCTTTGCCCTCCAGTACCACCAATGACATCCCAAGGTCATCTCCTTGAATGAAGATGCGTTTTGTTATCTCCCCCAAGAGATGGGAATCTTTTTTTTTTTCTTTTTCTTTTTGTCTACCAAGCCCTTTCTTTGGGTGCTCAAAACATCCAAACACAATTGTCAACGCAGACAGGTGCGGGTAGGGAGCTGGAAGGCCAAGGAGATGCACGGGTGTCTGTCCTGTCGGGTACCAAATGACCTCACGAGCCAGGCCCTCGGCTCCCCCCTTCCCTGCCCCCCCCCCCGTCACCTGGGGTGTTTGTGGCTGCCTCAACACTTGCGCCTACGGCCACCATGTCCGTCTCCGTCCAGCGCACCCCGACGGCCACAGGCCAAGGGATTTTGTTGGGACCGAAAGCACCTCCTCAACTCCCCTTCGCACACTGGGGCTGCTCGGGCGGTCGCCGCCGCCCCTTTCCCACCTCTCGGAGGCCTGCTCGGTGCCGCCCCGCCACGAGAGGGCGCCATTTCCTCCCCGCTAACTCCTCCGCCCTGAGGAAGAACGGAAAGGGGCCTTGCATTAACACTGCCACCCCGTAGGACGCCTCCTTCAACCATTCCACCGTCTGCTTCGCCGCCCCCCCCACCCCCACGTCAAAACCGGCTCCCGCCCCGCAGCTCCGAGTTCCGAGGCCGGGGTGTGCTTCTCCCCGCAGCCGCCTCAGAGGCCAGGCCACGCCCCTCTGCGCGCGAACCTAGCGGGAAGCCAGGGGCGTGGTCAGATGGCTGGGTGGGGCAATATGGGGGCGTGTCCTCCTCGATGCTGGGCGTCTATTGGCTGTCTTGCCGTGAGGAGGCGGGCCTCAGGAGAGCCGCGCTGTGGCCTCCCGGGTCTCGCACCCGCTCGAGGGATCACAATTGGAAACACTGGAGCTTTCGTGGCGCGCTGCAGAGTGCGGCTCCGACTCCTACAGCATGGCTGAGAAGCGGCACGCCGAGGACACCCAAGCCCGACGGCTCCCCGATTCCTTCAAAGGTAAGCCGTGAGCCCCGGGTAAACGCCCGACGGCGGGCTGCCCCACCCGGTAGCCTTCCCCTCGGGGGCCGGCCGCGCCCCGGCCTGCGGCGCGAGGTGTGCGGGTTCCGGGCACGGCGTCCTCGCGGCTTCGTGCTGCGCGACCGCGACCGCTTCGCCGAGTCGTCGGGCGTCTGCTCGTGTACTCCGTGCTTCTCAGGCTGAGGGTTGCGACTTTGGGGTGCTGGGGTGTGGTGGGCGCCACTAGCAGAGGCGCGTCCCATGCCCGGGACCCCGGCCGGGGCTCGCGTGGTCCGCGGTTCGCACGGACCTGCAGGGCCAGCGCGTCCTTAGCTCGCGGCACCCACGAGGACGCGGAATCGCCGAAGTAACCGGTGGGTCTCCCAGTGGTGCTGGAGTCGCCGTCTCCGACGTCAGAACCTCATCAGTTTCACACAGAAAGATGTCAGGCTCTGACCCTGGACACATAGTAGGCGGTAGGTGTGAGAAAAACAATCAACAACAACCACAGCCTTAGCAAGTCTCTGGCTCTCTTCCTTCCCTTCTTTCTGCCCCAGTCAGTTCCCCTCCTTTGGGGCTTTGTTTGATTGTGCTAGTCCTAGGGCTTGAACTCCGTGCCTGGGCACTGACCCCGAGCTTTTGTGCTCAAAGCTAGTGCTCTACCACTTTTGAGCCACAGCTCCATTTCCAGCTTTTTAGAGTTCATTGGAAAGGGGCTCACAGACTTCACTGTTCCAGCTGACTTTGAGCCATCTTCTTTAGATCTCAGCCTCCTGAGTAGCTAGGAGTCATCAGCTCCAGTTGAGAACTCTACATTCCCCTATCATTACCACCTTAGGAGGGCCTTCCCAGGCTGGAGACTGGAACTGTAAGTGGTTCCATCATACCCATTTTTTTTTTTTTTTTTGTCGTGGGGCTTGAACCCTGGGCCTGGGTGCTGTCCCTGAGCTCTTCAGCTCAAGGCTAGCACTCTACCACCTGAGCCACAATGTCACTTCTGGTTTTCTGGTGGTTTATTGGAGATAAGAATCTCAGGAACTTTGCTACCCAGGCTGGCATTGGACCATGATCTTCAGATCTCAGCCTCCTGAGTAGCTAGGATTACAGGCATGAGACAGTGAGCCACCGGCAACTGGCCATATCTACTTTTGAAGAAACTGCTGCCATCAAGAGAGCTGCCATCCTGAACATTTATTGGCTAACTCCTTGAGGGAGGGAAGGAATGTCCCATAAAGTTAGGCCCAAAATGATTCAGGAATAATGAGATCCTCTCAGGATCCCTTACCCATTCTAAGGAATTAGTTCTCAAGATGGAACTTCAAAATGGACAACAGTGAAACAGAGGCAAGATGAGCTTTTCCAGTACCCCACAACAAACACATCTGGAATAATCTATTCTGATTATTTTGGTTTGGTTTGGTTTTGAGAGTCTTTACTTTCGCTTTTGCCCAGGCGAGCCTCTAATTCACTTATTCTACCCCCTCTCCCTCCCAATTGCCTGAGATTATAGGCTAGCTCCACCGGAATTACCAATAAATAATTCTAAACATGTATGAAGCAGCCTTTTTTTTCACCCATCTGAATATAATTTCCTTTGCCCAGAGATACATGTCTTGAATTCCTTCTTGCACCAAAAGAGTTATAGAGTGCTGATGCTGTAGCTTTGTGGTAGTGTGCAAGGAAGGGAGCCTGGGTTCCATCCCTGCCACCACCACATACGCGCACTGGATCTGCTGGATCCTCACAACAGGCGTAGTCCTGTTGCTATCTCTGCTTTATACTTTAAGAAACTGATACAGAGGTTAAATTCCTTAAAGCTACACAGGTTTAGTGGAATCATATTTAATACCTTCATGTAAGTAATTCTAGAACTTGAACAAGAAAAAAAAAGTCCATTACCAACTCTTCAATAGTTGTCATTTCCTAGACAAAAACAGTGGGTTGAATCCTTTCCTTTGTACCTTGACCTTTGTTGGTACAGTTTTTACCTTGTACATTATTTATTTTGCTGGTCCTGTGGCTTGAACACAGAGTCTGGATGCTGACTCTGAGCCTCTTTGGGCTCAAGGTTAGTGCTCTACCACTTGAGGTACAGCACTATTCCCAGCCTTTTCTTAGTAGTTCATTGGAGATAAGAGTCTCATGGACTGGCTTTAAACTATAATCCTTAGGTCTCAGCCTACTTTACAGGTGTGAGCCACCAGCGTCCAGCTATTTACTTATTTTTGTGTTAATTGTACTAACGTACATCATTGTGGTATTTCCAGATATGCATATAATGTAAATTCACCCCCTCTATTATACTTCCTTAGTCCACTTTCCTCTTGTACTCTGACCTTCTAGGAGAAAACTACAGTGAGGATTGAGTTTGGGAGAGTTGTTTGATAATAAAGATGATCTTTGAGGTTAATAGTCAAAGACCAGCTGTTTCTCTTGTTTTGTTTGAGACAAAGCTATTACTATGTATAGCCTCTTCTATAACAGGGATGCTTAGATTCTCTATTTTCAATTTTTCACAAATGAAGCTTCTTACTAGGACAGATATACTATCTTAGTAATTATAGTCTGTTTACTAATAATATAAACCCAGATAAGCAGCCTACCTATAGAAGAATATGTGATGAAGAACATGATGATCATACCCTCAAATCAACACTTTGCGTTACAGCGAACAATAAAGTAAGCAGTCAGACTGGCTTGGAACTCACTGTATAGCCTCAGCTGGCCTCAAACTCCTTCTGCTTTTGTTTCCTAATTGCTGGGATTATAGGCCACAGATCAGATTTTTATTTTTAAGTTTTTTTTTTTTTATTTTTTTTTTAAATTTCTTTGGCAACAATCCTGGAATCATATATCATTGAAGATGTTATAGTATTTGATGTCCTATTGAAAATAAAGCATAGAAAGTCTTTGAAAACTCTCTAAGATGTTTCTCTTAAAAACAAGGTATGCTAGCCAGGCGCGGGTGGCTACCCAAGAGGCTGAGATCTGAGGATCACAATTCAAAGCCAGCCCAGGCAGGAAAGCCCATGAGACTCTTTTTTTTTTTTTTTTTTTTTTTTTATTTTATTTGAGAACATACTGTACAGAGGGGTTACAATTACATGGGCAAGATAATGCATACATTTCTTACCAAGCATTGCAGCCTCCTCCTTTGTTTACCCTTCACCTCCCTTCCCAGCCTCCCCCCTCCCCCCCACCCAATCATACCCCCCACACACACACACACCGACATTGTAAAGCTGGTTTTGACATGACATTTTGTACTTCTCATTGTTGCAACAGGTCCACCTGAATCCTTAAACGACTTGTTTGTCCCCATCTCCTCCATTTATTTTAAGTTTGTTTACTTGGTTTGACACTAAACCTTTTTCTTTTAAGAAACTAATGAAAATAAATGCACCTGCTCCCCAGATACATACAAATTTTTCTTGTTCTGTATGTTTTTTTTTTTTCTAATGGTAAGCCATAGAGATTTGATACTAGGGGGAAGGGGGAATTTACTGCTGGAATGTCTTAAATAGAATTTGTTTTTTTTGGGGGGGGGGCCTGAACTCTGGGCCTGGATGCTGTCCCTCAGCTCTTCAGCTCAAGGCTAGCGCTCTACCACTCTACCACTTGAGCCACAGTGCCACTTCCAGCTTTTTTCTTTTTGCTTATGTGGTGCTGAGGAATCAAACCCAGGGCCTCATGCATGCAAGGCAAGCACTCTACCACTGAGCCACCTTCCCAGCCCTTAAATAGAATTTCTTAAATGCTTGTCATGTGCCAGAGACCACCTAAGTGCTACACAAGCATTATCTCTTGGGTGCTAGTCATGTGATAAAAGCAACGTAAGTATTTACAAAGGTCTAATTGCACGTCTACAACAAGTAAAGTACCATTCTGTTTTATAGTAAGAAAACAAGCCAGAGTGATAAAAATCACACAGTTCATAAGACTCAGAATCAGGTTTCAAACTTAGGCTATCTGACTTTCCAAACCATTTTCTCTGTCCCAGAGCTACCACCAAAATGCATATCAGAGTGTAGGATCTTAGCCAACTTTAGTACACACTGAAGTTGAGAAACAGTAAACAAGGAAAGCCCAAAGGAACCCACCTTCAGTCAAGGCCTAGTATATAAGACAGTTCTAGAGGACTGCTTCTGAGGGAAGCAGTAGAATTACAAAAGCTCAACTCTGCCTCTTTGTGTATCTGCTGAAAATTAATCCTAGATAGTTAGATATGACCAGAATCAAAACATGTCTAATTTGTCCTAAAGCCAGTGCTCTAGCTTTGTAATGAAATAATGCAGATGGATTGCAAAGAAATGTATCATTGTAATTAAGAGTCATGTCAACAGGATAAATCTCTCTGGGAGAGTCTCAGAAAATAAGCAGAATCATGGGACTGATTTGTTTATTTCAGTTGTTACAGTGTCAGATTAGGGAGACTTTGTACTTCTTTAATAATCAACCTGAGTTAAACCATTCATGGTCATAAATTAACTCAATTAATTTGCAGGTTAAAACTACAGAAGCTGTCATGTACTTGTAATTAAATAAATTTTTGTGTCACCTAATTGTAAATTTTACACTGTAAAAGCATCATAAACTGCTGAGTTAGCTTTGCAAAAGAGCCAAGTAGAGTCTGGAGGCATGGCTTCAGCAGTAAGAGCACCTGCCTAGCAAACACAAAGCCCTGTGTTCAAACTTGAAAAAGTGATACAGTTGAGATTCAAAATCAGCTGGATACTGGTAGCTCATGCCTGTAGTCTTAGCTACTCAGGAGGCGGAGACCTGTGGATCATAGTTCAAAGCCAATTCAGGCAGAAAAGTCCATGAGACTCTTATCTCCCTTCAATAGACTGCTGAGAAAAAGCCAGAAGTGGTGCTATGGCTCAAGTGGTAGAGAACTAGCTTTTTGCATAGAGGCTCAGGGACAGTGTCCTGAGTTCAAGCCCCAGGATGGGCAAAAAAAAAGTTTTTAAAAAGAAAGGAGAGGGCTGGGAAGGTGGCTC